CTCGTCTTTCCTCCAAGCTATACATCTTAAGATCCTTTAACCTTTCCTGGTAAGTTTTATCCTATCCTTCCTAAATAACGTGTACCCATTTAAGTTAACTGCCCAGTCACGTGTCTCATGCCACCATGTTTCAGTTATGCCTATTATATCATATTGTTTAGTGTATGCTATTGCCTCTAGTTCCCCCATTTTGTTATTATATGCTCCATGCACTAGTAAGCATACCTTTAATATGGTCATGAGTCATTTGTACTTTTGGTGAATTTTCATCAATATTACATACCTCCTCTGTTCTGAGCTTTCCCTTCCCCCCATCCTTGTGATCCCTGTAAAATTACCAGATTTTACTATTAATATGACATAAAGTCATGATTTTATTAACGACACGGAGGCTCCTATTATGCATCCTCTTTCTTTATTATACTCCCAGCAGCAAGAAAAATGGAAGTATGAGAGAATCATAGAAAAAAGAAAACCATAACAATAGCCTGGTAACAGTAGCACCAATCAGCATCCAGTTTAATCCATATAGGTGTAGTGCTCCTTGACTCCTCCTCTTTCTGCGTAGATCTCGAAGACCATTAGTGCAAATCCCAAGGTATTCCAACCAGAAATACGAATTCACGAACCAAAACCAAAACTGGAACTTCAACATAGAACAGTTTCAACCGCCAACTCTCAAGTTGTATTCATGAAAAATATGGTAATATCGAAATCTCGTGACTGCTATTCCGCAATTAACAACTCGTCAACCATGTTATTCAATCTATGTAAATATATCAAGTTCGTCAACCATGTTGCTAAATCGAAATAAGTATCGTATAAGTCAGTCATTCTCATTGAATACTTACTCACCTGTGCCATGAATTACCTTGTACCTACCGTATTAAGTCATCCTAAAGGCCCCATGTCTGGGTTGCAACTTAATCACCACCCTGGGTAGGGTGGGTGGAAATAATAATCGCCTCCGTGTCATTAATAAAATCATGACTTTACATCATGTTAATAGTAAAATCTGGTAATTGTATTAAAGACACGGAGGCTCCTATTATGCTATTTTAAAGCTGAGCAATCACTGAACTGGAAATGTGTTGCAATGGGCAAAAATAGAAATTAAGAAATGTAGACTCATTCGACCAGTCGGCTGCCCGTAGGATATCCTCCAATCTACAAACTATCATGGAAGCTTTAGATCCCATAGCCCCGCGAATGGAGTGTGAGGAAAAAATTGAGGTGTCTATGCCTGCCATTGACAGCAACCATTTGATCCAACGAGCTAAAGTAGGAGTAGATACTGGTAGGGAGGTACTTTGAATGAGATGAATAATGGATGGGTTTGCTCTGGACGGAGCGAGGCCGACGATGCTCGTATTCCTTCATACATAACACAGGGCAGAAATTTGGGTTTTCCGGAAATGACAGGTAGAAAACTTCCTTAGTCGAGGATTTTGTCCTACATGAAATATTAAAGGATACCCCGTTTGGGACAAAAACATGTGCATACCAGGCTAGTGCTCTGACATCAGCAAGCCGTTTACATGAAAATAAACAAACCAGCATCAACAGCTTGGCCGACAATTGCTTTAGAGAAAGTTCCTGGTTCAATGGCCAAGATTCGATCAAATGAAAAAACATATTGACATCCCAAAAGGAAGAATATCGATTTTGAGGAGGTCGAGTAAGATGAATGCCTTTGAGTAAACGACAGATAAGAGCATGTTTTCCTATTGGGGTACCATCCAACCCCATATGTCTTGCTGATTTGGCTGATCTGTACAGATTTATAGTACAAAAGGCTTTGCCTTCCTCAAAGAGTAGAGTCAGAAATTGTAGGATTGCTTTTGCAGGAGCTGATATTGGATCCATTGACTGTCCCACACACCAATCAGTCCACTTTCTCCAAGCCAACCCGTAGGCACATCTGGTACCTGGTGCCCACGACTCTGCCAAGAGACTGAGTGTCGTCTGCGAAACCTCCTCGAGATTCCATGATTTCCTGAAATGAGCCATGCCATCAGTTGAAGTAGACCATGGTCGACCAGTTCGTGATTCATTCCCTCTGGGTTGGTCAAGAGGTAGGGAATGTCCGGCAACAGCTGTGGGAAATATATCAACATTTCCAATAACTGTGGAAACCAAGGTTGTGACCTCCATAACAGGGTTACCAGCGCCAGCATCCCCCTGGAATATCGAAGAAATGAGGTTGAAAGGGGGAAAAGCGTAGTTCCTGCCCTTGGTCCAGTCCTGTAGGAATGCATCTGTCGCCAGAGCATCTGGATCTGGTCTCCAACTGAAGAACCGAGGAAGCTGGGTGGTCAGACGAGACGTGAAGAGGTCTATATTGAAAGGTCCCCAGAGTCGACAGAGGCGCTGGAAAATCATTGGGTGGAGATGCCAATCCCCTGCGTCCTGAAGGTGTCGGGAGTTCCAATCCGCCATCGTATTGTCCTGCCCCGGAATGTATTCTGCTATTACCGAAATGCTGTGTTCCAGGCAATAGTGCCAAAAATCTCGAGCCATCAGCACGAGAACCTTCGATTTCATCCCTCCTCGGTGGTTGATATAACGCACCGCTGAGATGTTGTCCATCTTGATTAAGATCAAGCATTAAATGCCTGTGGGGGTTATAATGCGAATGGCAAAGGGTGCTAATATCTGCCACCGGTGGAAACTGACCCGCAATGCACGCCCCAGCCATGTAAGCTGGCGTCCGACTCTATGACCAGGTCCGGCTTCGATCCAAATATCGCCCGTCCGTTTCATGCCTCCCTGTGGGCTAGCCATCAGTCCAACTCTTCCCTGGAGTCTCCGTCCAGTACAACACAGGTTTCGTATGAGTGACCGGAGCGTAGGTATGAGGCTTTGAGCCTTTGTAGGGCACGATAATGTAATTGTCCCGGGAAGATCACCTCTATGGACGATGCCAACAGCCCTATGATCCTTGCAAGTTGTCGGAAGGAAATGGTTGTACGATGCATAAGTCGTCTGACCTCTTTCTTGATCGAAATCATTTAGTCTTTGGGTAGACACAATCCCTGTTGGACAGAGTCCACTTGGAAACCCAGAAATTCCATGCATTTGGAGGGTTGTAGAATTGATTTCTCCCAATTCACCAAGAATCCTAGGTTTTGGAGAAGATGGGTCGTCCAGGATAGGTGAATGCGTAGTTGGGATTAAGACTGGGACAGAAGAAGGATGTCGTCTAGATAAATTATTAATCTGACCCCTTGTGTGCGCAGGAAGGCAATCACTGGCTTTAGCACTTTCGTGAAGCACCATGGAGCAGAGGATAGGCCAAATGGCAGACATACAAATCTCCATTTCGTTCCCTGCCACTGAAACTGCAGTAGGTTCTGATGCGCTTCCACAATAGGGATTGTCAGGTAAGCGTGCCGTAAATCTATTTTGACCATCCAATCTGATGGTATGAGGAAGTCAATGAAGGCAATTAATACCCTCCATTTTTAAATGGTGGTACTGGACAAATGCATTTAGAGGTCGGAGATTTATTACTGGGCGTACCCCGCCCCCTTTCTTGGGGACCAGAAACAGGTTGCTCACAAACCCTTCTTTGTTCCATGGGATTTGTTGGATAGCGTTTTTTGACGCCAACTCTGCGATCATCGTGTGTGTGGTCAGTCATATTTAGTTCTCAAGGGAACTGCGTCTGAACCGGTTGGGAGGTTAACTCCAATAGGTACCCTTGTATCGTATTTAATACTCAAACATCTGCGGTAAAAATTTTCCAAGCATGATGAAACAATGCCAGTCTGCCCCCCACTTTTACATGGGAAAAAAGGAGATACTCGGTACTCACCATAAGGTCGTCTGCCTGAAACAGACCCCCGTGGTCCGTGGGAATTCCAGGGCCGTCCCCGAGATGAGAAGAATGGGGTGTAGTTTTGCTCCGGTACCAGTCTCTGGTTATTAAAGGAGCCTCTGCCGGCTCTAGTTGAGCCTCGAAATCCACGGCCGGGTAGACGGCTTCTACCTCTGCTGGCCCCTCCAAAAACCCGAGGTGCGAATACTCTCTTAAGAGATGTCTGAGCTTTATCAATTGCTGTAAATGTCTTTACGTACAGCCCAAGATCCTGAATAAAGGATTCACCAAAAAGTAAGCCTTTAGTAGCTTGGCCCAGCTCGTTGGTCGCCATGCTGGCCAGTTTGGGCTCTATTTTCAGGAGAAATGCCTTGCGGCATTTGGTAGCTATAGCCATATCGGCATTACCCACCATGCAGACTAATCTCTGCAACCAGCCTATCGCTACTTCGAAATCAAATTCGCTTTCACCCGATTGGGCGGACTCCACTAGCTCATACAGTTTAGATATGGGTCCCAAAGTATCAAGGAACTTGTCTTGGCAGTTCCAGAGGGAAAAGTCTAAGCCCTTCCTTGGTTTCCAACCAGACTTGTTCAAGAATTGGACCAACTGAGGGTCCACGTCAAGTGTTTTTCCCACCGAGTCTGGAAGGATGGGTCGTGGGCATTCCACCCGTAATTTATTGCGCCCTTCTTTAGATAAAGGCTTTCGCACCCGAAGTGCGAGGTACTTCGCAATGAGCATAGGCGGCTCCCATTCTGCCGAGCGAGGGTGATGTAGGTCATCTGGGTCAAATAACGGGTTACCCAGCAAATCCTCGACCGAGTCAGCAGGCTCAGTGCCCTGAGCCGTAATCTTTTGGGTTGCCTGTTTTTATGTCAGACCCGGAATCTGAAAATTCAGAGTGTAGTGGTCCATATAGGAGTCATCATACTCCTCCTCCAAACTCTGGTCCAAATCGGACGAATCCCCATGGGCACGTGCCCGTTTCCAAGCTCTGGACGATTTTGCACGGCCAGGGGCTCTAGTGCGCGGTGGTATCGCGCCATCTTTGACAGCCTGAGGCGTGTCATTCGATACAGGCTGAACCTGCAGCTCTGGAGGGGAGGCCACATGTCTGCTCTTTGCCAAAGCCTTGCGTCCCGGTTGTGCCATGTTAGTGGGTCCCGGGTTGCGTGTGTTCTGCATGACACTAGTCTGTGTCTGTATCAATGCCTCTGTTATGGACTGAGTGATAGAGGATGACATGACCACCATCGCAGAGGTTAATGCTCTGTTAATGGACTGTGCCATGGTAGAGTCTAGGAGGGATTGAGGCTGGCATCATCTTTACCTCCCTTGTTAGAGGGGGAAACACCTGGTGTGGGGCACATAAGCCCTGAAGGTCTCTCACTCTGATCCTGCATTTAGCAGATAAAATCTTCACGGGGAATATATATACCCAAGTCCAACTAGTAACAAGATATTGGGCCCTGTAAAATAGTCTTATTAATAGTGGCTTAAGGTGCTTAAGGGTAAAAACAGATTTTTAGTAGCCTGTGAGGGAAAGAACTAACCATTGAGAGAGAAAACAGAAAAGGGTGTCAGGATAGATTAATCCTCCACACCACACTTACAGTTTGGCAGCAATAACCACAAAAAAACAACAATGATATCCCAGTCTGGATCTTAGTAGAGTGCTTAGGTGGGTAAGAGAAGCCGTTGTGAGCTGATTCCTGCCGAAATCACATTTAAAATGGCTGCCGCGAGTGAAAGTTACACTCGCGGCGACGGTAACCAAAAAGATGGCCGCCGCGCCACAAACTGCGCATGCGCGGGCGAACTGTAAGGGGAAATTGAAACTAAATGGCCCGAAAATTGCGGACAGACCGCGGGCATAAACCAGAGGTGCAAACACAAGCACCAGAAAACGGCTGAGTTACAATGTCACCCAACAGGGAAAATAATGGAAACACGACCCTAAGGAGAGGGCAGGGAGGGGATAACCGCAGGTTTCCCAACCCCAATAGAAAGCACTCCTCTGACACCAGAAGGATATACACCACAGTAAGACAGTATGAACTGACAATAAATATACAATATTTTACAATCTAAAGAACATCCAAATAATGTATAGGAATTAGCAAATACAAATAAATGTATAAGAGATCATAGGAGTAGCAAGATGAGGTACTTAACTTGTCTGAGGGAGCAGCAAGAAAGAGGAAGAGTCAAGGAGCACCACATCTATATGGATTATACTGGATGCTGATTGTTGCTACTGTTACCAGGCTATTGTTATGGTTTCTTTTTCTATGATTCTCTCATACTTCCATTTTTCTTGCTGCTGGGAGTATAATAAAGAAAGAGGATGCATAATAGGAGCCTCCGTGTCTTTAATAAAATTATTAATTAGCTTTACCAAACCTCCCAATATTAGGAGACATAAAATCGGGGGTGCCAGTAACATCTTATTGGTGATCCCTAAAATGGAGACCTGCCTAATAATAGACAAGAACATTAAATTAAAATAAAAACGAGAAGGGGTGATCCAGTACCTGGACACACATATTCTCACTGACAGACATACGTTCTCACTGATACACTTACACTGATATTCACTATTCTCCTTCTTATATCGCTGACATATTGAACATCGGCCAATGTTCACGTTTTAACTTGTACCATGTTAAAATTGCAAGTGTGTGTATTCCGACCCAGAGCTGACCGTTTCAGTCATGAAGTTGGTCCATTGTTTTGATGGTGAAATAAAGCATCAATTCGATCTACCACATGGTTCAGATTATACATATACTTGCTCTTACTAATACCTACTTAAAAGCGTTCCAAGCTGTGTAGATTATTTCTAAACACATAAAAGTCAGGTAAATGTCTCTTTAAATAATTAACGCACTGATATAAATTGATGCAGATGTCTCCAAATGCATTGTAGACATACTGTTCTATTCTAAAAACACTGACAGTCATGAACAGCAGTATCATACTACACATAAAGTAAACAAAACCAAATATTCAGCCAAGTCTATCTACCACGCTATTTATTTAACAAAGTTCATTAATCCTTTGCAGAACTGTTGCTCAATACGCTTAGCGGACCTAGTTGTTACAAATCACTAGGATGAGTTGAGTTCCACATTTTGCCAGTTTGTTGACTATGAGTAAGTAGATACAAGGCAGAAATCCAAGAAAAATCTATAAACAGTAATCTGGACAAACCTAAACTGGCTCAGTTAAACTCTGTAACTAATCATTTTTCCCAAAGTTTAGCTCATGGTCTTACTGCATTGAACGGGATGGAGGACAGATCTGTGAAGCTCTGAGACACTTGGCAAAAGGAGTTCAATCCTATTTTCTTTTTCTGAATAATCTCCTTAGCGTTTAGAGGCTGTTTTCTGTACACAGCAAACAACATGCATGCCTAGAAGCTTGGAGTTGTGAAAATCCATGACAGACCACCCACTTCTGCTCAAGCTACAATGATGGGCCTGTGTCCAGAATTGCAGACACGTACTGCATGATGCCAGCATTCGTAAGAGGCAAGTTGTCACTAAACCGACAGACAGAACCTGCCTCTTTAAAACCGTGCAGGCAGTAATGTGAGCGGATGCAGATGTTGCAAAATTACTTTCATGCACTATAGTCTCTACTGAAATGCTGAAGTTTAAGAAGAGGAGAAACGCCACATTTAACATAAATCAAGTAGGATTGGTCCTCTGGGACCACATGACTAAATATTTGAATTTAAGGTAATTGAGATTAATAAACTAATACTAGCAGAAACTAATAAAAAAACAAATCACTGCCTACAGGCGGAAATGGGGTTGTCAGAGCTTCTCCACAGTTGCTTCCGTTAATGTGATTTGATTACGGACATGTAAATAAAGGATAGCTTTAATTATGTTGCTGCAAATGAAAACCCAAAGCCCATAAGTTTGGTTGCCCCCACTCAAGTAAACATTTCATAAACCTGGAACCTAAGGCTCCTGTGGATAAAGGGATATACAGGATATTAAGGCTGGCAAGCAGTGGTAGAACCGAATTACACCCATTGAGCAGAGCCATGTTTGCATCTTCATTGACTTGCCTAGTCTAGTACCGCACTCCTGCATGCAGGACAGTGCAAGGATTTTTGCCGCCTCCACCCCCATATGTCCTGCCCACCATTTGACATCACAATGCCCCGCCCATTTGCTCTGCCATAAGGGTCAACATCAGTCTTCACAAAGTGTCTTTTATCTGAAAAGACAGTGTGTTTACATTAAAAAGCCTACAGGCACAGTATTAGTGCCACTAATAATATATTGGATTGCCTACTTACCACCAGATGAGGATAAGAGGCTGATGATGGGCTCAGTCTGGCTCCACAGGTCTGGTGTAGAAGAGGCTCTCAGGAGACTGTTTTTAACAGTGCTTACAGCAATTAACGAAGCAGCTCCATTTTTTAGGGCCCCTTACACAGCTCAAGGTCTGGGCCCCCAGGGCTTGACCGTGAGTATGCCTACAATGCCCACCCATAAATCCACCTACATGGCCCACCCATGAGTTCTCTCACAGGAAGTGGAGTGTATGTGTGGAGGGGATGTTTTATGTGTTATTGTAGAGGATGCAACGTGTGTGTGTTCTTATAGAATGTAGTGTATAGGGATACCAATTTCTGTAAGGGATGTAGTGTGTTTATAGGGAATGCAGTGTGTGTTTGCGTGTAAGGAATGCATTGTATGTTTCTGGGTGTGTGTGTGTTTGTGTGTGTCTAAGGGGTGCAAGGTGTGTTTCTGTGTATGTAATTGAATACAGTGTGTGTCTGTAAGGGGTGCATTGATTGTGTACGAGATGAATTTTGTTTCTGTGTGTAAGAGAATGAGTGTTTGTGTGAACGTAAGGGATGCATTATGTGTTTCGGGTGTGTCTGTGTGTGAGTAGGAATGCATTGTATGTTTTTGTGTGTGTGGGGGGGGAGGGGATGCACTGTGTATGTGTGTAGTGTAAAAGAGAGGGTTTGTGGGGTAGGATAGGGACTGAGAGGGGAGCAGCTCTTTATTTTTTTTAAAAAATTTCATAGTGCTCTCCCCTCCTGTTGATTTCCCCTTCCCTCCTGTCCCTCCGTGTTCTCCTCTTCTTTCCCTTAGTGCTCTCCCTTGGCCCCCTGTCCCTCTGCAGTCCCCCCTTGGTGGTCTTCTCACTCCCCCCTCTCCCCCTTAGTGGTCCTCCCTCTCCCAAACCCCTTAGTGGTCCTCCCTCTCCCAAACCCCTTAGTAGACCTTCCACTCCTCCCCCCACACCCTTAGTGGTAATCTCCCCCAACCCAGTGGTCATTATCCTCCCCCCCCCCTTAGTGGCCCTTACCCTTCTCCCCTCTCCTTAGTGGTCCACCCTCCTTCCTCCCCTTTGGTGGTCCTTCCCCCCTTAGTGGTCCTCCCTCTCCCAAACCCCTTAGTGGACCTCCCCCCTCCTCCTTACCCCCCTCCCCTCCCCTTACCCCCCCTCCTCCCCAGTGGTCCTTACCCCTCCCCTCTCCCCAGTGGTCCTTACTCCCCCCCTCCCCAGTGGTCCTTACTCCCTCTCCTCTCCCCAGTGGTCCCACCCACTGGCCCCAGTGGTCCTTACTACCCCCTCCCTCACCTCCCCAGTGGTCCTTACTCCCTCCCCTGTGGTCCTTACCCTCCCCTAGTGGTCCTTACTCCTCTAGTGGTCCTTACCTCTAGTGGTCCTCCCCTCCCCTAGTGGTCCTTACCCCCTTCACCCCTCCTCTCCCCTAGTGGTCCTTATCCCCCCTGCCCCCCTCCTCTCCCCTAGTGGTCCTTACCCTCCTCTTCCTTCTTGCATATGTAGCGTGGACGGGCGGGTCGGAACAGGAACTTCTGCTCTGCGCTTCCCTTGCTGTTGGATAATTGGATTTCTGAGCAGGAATGGAGAAGCAACATAGGTAACGGTATTTACTGCTAGGAGGCGCAGGGAATGGAGCAACAGACAGTAAGGCAGACAATTGAAAAGTTTACAAGAAATTTATATTACCCAAAATATTACTATATGTATATGGAATATTGGTGAAATATACTCACCGAAAATACCAATGAAGAATTGCATGTGCAGAAAATTGCAATGATAAACTACAGCTAAAGATGGTATTTAAATGCTCTCTGAATTAACCCATTCCCCAAAAGCACAGAGATTTTGCAAAATAAAATAACATTTCCTAAATAAACCTCATATCTGGTTATTGTATCCCATTGCATTCTAATAATGCCCAAATAATCTGGGCAAATGTCACAAGGATCTATCTAACAGTATTTTAGTTCAACCATGAATCTAATTTAAATTTAAGCCAATTTATAAAATCCCAATCTAAAATAAGCTCCAGCCCCTCCCCGAAAAAAATCTATTTTCTTTATGGAACGAGCTA